GTATTCCTACTCAGTCATGTCCAACTTATGTAAACAACCAGGGATTTTTCATCTTTCCTCGGGAACGGTAAGACATTAGGTTGGTTTCCTTACAACCAGATGTTTGAAATTAGATGAGTAAACAATCCAAAACATGAAATTTTCGGGGATTTCAAGACCTAGTGTCCCTTTAAATACATTTTGTAAATGGTTATTAAATTGTTTGTATGCTTTTTTTTATGTAGCCTACATGGTTTTATTTATTATTTTATTTTATATTTTGATTTAATGTTTTTTTGCAGCAGTGTCTAAATTGCTAGCGTATTATGAATCTGGTTGCAATTGTGGCTATTTAGCACATGTACATACTGGTGAAGCAGAAGTGTGTACTTGTAAGCGTCCGACTATAGCGTAAAATGGAGCTGTCCAACATAGGCATGATAGGGCTGGACAGCTCATCAGTTGATAAAGTGTCGATATGGTGTTCTGGAGGTCAAAGGTCCAAACCCCGCAGCATATCAATTTATTTGTACAACCTAAATAAAATTCAAATTACAAGTACACATATGCAGTATATAAATGCATCTTTTAAAAAAAATACAGGTGTCAAATAAAATTAAAATTGTTCCTGAATATAGTGAATACACAAATTTATATGTATTATGCAGGCATTGGCAGGGGGTGAGAGGGATATTTCCTACGCTTCATGCATATAAATTGATTTTGTCTATTGATCAAAATTAATTCAACCATGACAACTAACAACTGCATCAATATTTAGACAAGCACCCGTGTGAACCCACACCCCTGCTGATAGCAAAGCAGGCAACATTTATTTACAAACAATTGGCTCAGGAAGTGGTTTGGGTTCAACCAGAGGTTATCAGTTAAAAAAAAACGCAGGGCCTCTGGACAACTGAGAACGACTACGGCCACAAAGTAGAGCTGCTGGTAGTCCGCTCTTTCTTGCATACCACTGAAATGTTTCTGGGGCATTTGTATACCATGATGTAATATTTTTTTTCATCACTACTTTTTATGATGGGAAATTGTGTTTGTTGTTTTTGATTTGTGAAAAAAAATTTCGGGGACAAACTACTGTTTTTAGTGGGGTTTAAATGCAGGTACCGGTACACTGAACATGTTGAAACTTCTAAATCACAAACACACTAAATTGTACTTTTAATTGTTAGGGTATAGTGGTCATTTTGTTGTACTCTCTAGTTGCTAACTCCCGGTAAATACACTAAATTTCTAATACAAAGTTCGTTATGTACAGCAAAATATTTGGTAAAGTGGTTGGGAGTATCATTTACTGTCTGAAACTAAAATTGATTCCGTAAATGGGCAATTCCACCGACACTCACATTACATTTACAAAATGTATGTGTCATGAGGCTACTTTGACCTCTCACATGCTTTTAAGTATTTGATCAAGCTAAATCAAACCAGCCATACAACAACCTTGGGATATGAGGTCCCATTCATCCACTTTTTGAAAACAAAACAGAAACTTTTTCTTGAAATTTTGTTGTTGAAGTCTTCTTAAAATGTAGTCTGCAACATAAACACAGTTCACATTGTTTTACCTGTATAACCCAAATATAATTCCCAATACGCCATAGCTACAAAACTTATTTTGAATCAAATCAGAGTGTATGTAGTATATAATACAGGGAGGTACCATTTTAAAAATGTATTGATGAATTTATTTCATTTAATTATATTTTTTTTACTTTTCTCCTGAACTACTCACCGGTTCTCATTTCTCCTTCGCAGCGCACGCCAGCATCTTCAGTATGCCTGCACTGGTTGTCCCTCCATTGGCTTTGTTGACAGTGGACCAACTCTGCCTCCGTACCCTCGCACTGAACATGATTCATCACCACAGGACCTGTGCAACAAATCATCATGATCATAATACTGTACATTGTACTCTTCCGATCTCAGACTTTAAACTTGGTATGTTACGAGAGCTTTCATCCTTTGTGCAAAACTTAAGCTCAATGGGAGACTTTTGAGAAGCTTACTGGCAGCACACACTCCGGTTACTTTTCTATCGTTTGTGTCATTTTTGAACATGCAGGCGCCTCAAAAGTCTCCTATTTGACAAGCTATTTTCAATCATTTACATGTATTCTTCACTAATATGGATGGGTGCGTTTTTCTAAACACGGTCAATCACTCAATGGAAAACAAAATATTTTTCGGTGCACTGTCTTGCAAATTTGAACTTTTGCGTCAATGTTGTATTTAATTGGTGTCAGATTATATGTGAGACACTCAGAAACACTCAGGCACAAAAACAAATTTGCAATGATCATGGTGATATCAGAAAAACATTCAGCATCCCCTCCCCCCCCCCTCCCCCTTTTAGGGTCACAAGGTTATGACACACTGTTGCCTAATTATGAGTGGACAGTATTGAAGGAACCACACAAACTTTAACAAGACACTGATTAGTAATTTTACCTGTTCCTGCTCCATATGCAGGGGCCGACACGGCGGCCATTGCCGACCCGTATCCCAGCTCCCTGCAAACCACCCGCGCATCATTGATATCCCAGTCATCATCACACACAGTCCCCCATTCACCATCGATGTAAACCTGACACAGACAACAAATAAAACAAAGAGACTTTCCCTGAAACTCTTGACAGTTTATGTTCACGTCACTTCATTATTTATTTATTGTATATTGCTATAGACAAAATATTTCTTTTGAACAAGTTGTAGTGTATGATGAGCATTGTTATCACATTTTTCTATTTGATGTTGACATGAAATAAATGTATCTGAAATGAAAATGAATGAAATGAAATGAAATTTAGCATCAGAACCCAATTTGGGCAAGATTACCATATGTGAAGTTCACTAATTTTCCTCTGTATTGACTAACAAGCCCCCAGATAGCAATTTCATGTCATCAAAGTCAATTTGAGCAGTGAGAAAATACAAACATTTTCTTAGAAAACACTTACAATTTTTCAGTCCAATCTCATAGGGTTTGTACACAAGGTGTTGAGTGAACTTCGTATATGGAAATCTTTCCCCATTTTGTAGTGTTTGGGGTTTGATTCCACACATTAAAAACAAGATGTAATTTTAGTCTTGTAAAGATGTCTACAGTACTTGTAACTCAGTTGTTAAAACAGTAGTCATGTTCTCACTGTTTTAATTTACATCCAATCCAATTTGGGCCAATCCCAGCTGTATTTTTCATTGGTTGATCTGATGATGTAGCATCATTAAGCTACCTGATATTCAACATGCCGGGTATTCTAGCGAACTATTTACATGATTCCAAACACGTAAATTGACTTTTCCTGCTTGTCATGCTTAGTTGTAATATAATCATGGTAAGTTGTTACTAGTTGTTATATAATAATATCATCACCAAGTGTTTACATGTACATGATGTAGGTATGTCCCAAAGCATAAAATTGTTTTCGGAAAGATTTCCATATACAAAGTTCACTAATTTTCCTCTGTATTGACTAACAAGCCCCCAGATAGCAGTTTCATGTCATCAAAGTCAATTTGAGCAGTGAGAAAATACAAGCATTTTCTTAGAAAACACTTAGAGTTTTTCAGTCCAATCTCATAGGGTTTGTACACAGGGTGTTGAGTGAACTTCGTAAATGGAAATCTTTCCTTGTTTTCAAGTTATCCAGGCACTGTTCTATTGTATCATCAGCACTGTTGCCCCACACAACACAATGCATCTTTTCCTACCTACTACAAGCATGACAAGTACTACAACTTCCCCGCATTATGCAACGTGCGTACACGTACTACACCGTACTTATGTAGGGGTTTGTTTGTAGGCCTACGTACGTACACAACGTGATCGTACGCGTGGATACACGTACGCGTGAACGAGAAGTTGAATTCGTTTCTTGCATATCCTCACCAATTACCAGGTCCAAACTTATCCGATTCTAATATTCCCAGTTCACACGGTTCCCACATTTGAAATATTGTTACTTACCAAGTCTGATCACTATAACAACGACTACGAGCACAGAAATCTGAAATAAATTGCCTGGCGAAAAGTAGCAGTCACCGTGAACAGCTAGGGCGCTGCCATCTTGAATTTCTTGTCTTCAAACTCGGAATACATTTCATGCATTGCAAATCGATTAACATAAAACAGCCGTCAAGAGTAAAAACAAGTGAAAGTTTTGCTTTTGTTCAAAGTGGAGGGCAGCGCGCGTAGCCAGTGTGGGGGGGGGGGGGGGGGGGGGGGGTGAAGATGTGGGGGAAGGAGGGGATGGGGGTAGGGGAGGGGGGTACCCCATAACTTAAAAATTGTAGCCCTCCTCCAGTCGCCCCCACCGTCTGCAGTGCCATGGTTAACAGGTTTTATTGGTTCCCCCAACGCCGCTTGGGTGAAATTGGACTACATTTTGCACAGCTGATACATTGAATGGAAAAGAAATATAGTATTTACCTCCACGCGACCTTCATACGCCGTCATTCCTCCAGCCAGCCTGATAGCCAGATTCTTAGATAGTTGGGGATCGCAAGATTCCACACAAATTTCTCCATCGAGATACAGGTGATCTTTACAGCTGGAGCACTTCGAGTTGGTCGGTCCGTCAAAGCAATTGTTGCAGTTCTCGTGGCAATCCTCGCAGGTTCGGCCCTGGGTGTTCCCGTGGCTCCCCGAGCCGCAGTTCAGCACGCACCGGTCGTTGAGCAAGAATCTCGGGGCCTCGCAAGCGAGACAGTGGTCTGGCCGGTCGGTGCAGGTCCGGCATTCCGAGGAGCATAGCTCACAGCGATTTGTACCGGACACGCGGTAGTACCCATCCCGCACGAAGCAACGCAAAGACGGGAGACATCGGGTCCGGAACATCGCACAGCTGTTAAAAGATATTGTAATTGTTCCCCTTTAATCACGAAAGGAAAGGAACCTCTATTTTTGAAGATGATGATGATGATGAAAAAGGAACTCCATCAAAGCTGAACTTGGAGAAAAAAAACTCGCAGCAAATACGTATCGCTTACAAAACAAATTTGAAGACAGTTGTCAGTGCCAAAAATGGATTTTAAATGCCAACAAACAATTGACAAAAAAAACTTGTGGTTATGAAATGAAATAAGTATTTTAAAAAGTAGGCCTAGATTTGATTTTTGAAAATATCTAAAAATTTGTTTGCACTACTTTTGCGCTACTCGCTCGCGCAGATTGATACAGGGCCGAATGTTCAGTTGCTCGATCCTAAAATTTGACTTTTTCCTTTGACTTTAGCACGACGCGTGGGCCACTGCAATGCTAAAGAATTAGCCATTAATTTGAACATTCATTTTTAGGGGTATTACACCAAAGAAAAAAAACACAGGTATCTAAATTAAAAAAAAACTATTATTGAAGATAGAAGAACATCCACGAGTTTTGTTTTATTTAATCTTATCCCGCATGCGTTCCTGAAAACATGAGAGCACGATATTTCTTGTTCAATCGACTATCTGAAAGGGCGGGACTAAGTTGTGACATCACGGACCACCAGAAATAGCCGAGATAATCGATTCTTTTTTTCGTACCTGCATCTTCATCGTGGGCACAGTTGTGTCTGCCCCACTCCAAATGAGGACAGAACTCAAGCTTGGACTCCGTCCCGCTGCACTCGAGGTCATCGAGGTGAATGGGCATGCGCGGTGATGCCGATTCAAAATCATCAGACACGCTTAGAGCGTCAACTGCAGAACCTGAGAATTCAAGGTGACAAGTCCAAAAAAGTACATTTCAGATGCAAGTAAAACCAATACAAATCATCCAAAAACACAGAAACTAATACGGCGAAGGAAGGCCTACAGTGAACGAAGGACAAGCATCTGGATATCGTGCATGGCTCACCAAGTTGAAGTTCGCCGCAGACGACCTGTGCGTCTTGAATGTCCCATTTGTCGTTGCATATCGATCCCCAGACCCCCTCATGAAGGATCTCCACCCGGCCTTCAAACGCGTTGGTGCCCCCTCGGAGTCTTAGTCTGCTTCGGGCCGGTCCCCGCGAGTACATATTCCCACAGTCCATTACACATCTAATAATCAAACCAACGACACGTTCACAATTGAAGTGGGTATCTTTGGGTATTTTTTTTTACTCCAATCACGTCAAACCATCTTGCACTTTGATTACAAAAGACTATTTTGGACAATGATATAATTTGGACCGATACACCGCAAAAACTGTGTTGAGCAATTAAGCACTTTTCTAAACGCTTTCTTGCTATCAGTTTGTAAACATGTTTAAATTCATGTTTAGAGTAAGGATTGATAGCGTTTAGCAATTGAACATTGATAGTAGGAATTGGACACGTAATGTTCAGCTTATATAAACACGTTTACAAAGTGATTGCAAGATTGTGTTTATTTGCTACCCCCCCCCCAAGTTTTTACAGTGTACCGCTGACACAGTTTGGCACAAAGTTCCGCCTTGAAACACCCCAAAAATAATGGTGATTTGCGCGTGATAAACACTTTTTGGACGCTAAAAGCAGTTGTAACATTAAAGCTTATAACACCTCAACACAGTTTTGCTCACGAAAATGGAAATAACGTGAAAGCCTCCCAAACAAGGCCCATGAAAACATTCAAACCTAGGAATATGAAATTGAAAATAAACTTAAATTAGACACATGAAATGCATTTCAAGGATTGCATTTTAATGATCTCTTTTAAAAAAAAGATATCAAAATGAGGTAAATACCGTATAATGGAGAAAACACTTTAGAGATATAAATAAACAAAACAATGTAAGCCTACAATGAAAGACGCTTTTCCATTGTCCTTAAAACACTAAGCCCCTTTTCAAACATTATTTGTCCAAGGTTAATTTGACGTATTGTAATAAGACGTTCACAACGATGCTGCCATTATTTTACCGTCATGACGTCAGAAGTGCATCAGCTACGTCACAGACAGACATGCTATGATGTTGTTTTTTCCATGACGTCAGTCTAGCATGTAAAGAGTTTGGATCACATTGAATCAATGGGGGTGTAACGCAGATGCAGAGGTTGAGTTGCATGTATTTTGTAGTCACCTGGCTTCTGCCATCTTTATTCATGTCGGCATTCCAAGGATTGTGTGTGAGTGTGAATTCCCCTAGAACCCTTTCGCACGAAACATGTTTCTCAAATTAATCAGGTCCCCAATTAACCAGAATCAAATTAGTGGTTGGCATTAATTAACACATTAACATTCACCAACAGACAGCACTCTTTTTTTTTTGGCATCTGAAACTTGCCACGAATCGGAAATGAAGCCAATTGATGTGACTTTTCCTGCATGTATAAGTAATTAAAGATAGCCCGTTGTTTGAATATAGTATCGCAAGTAGCTCGTCTCCTCCTTGTATATATCTCAATGGTTCGCTAACATCCTTTTGACAGTCAAGGAACTGTAACTGTACCCGTTGGGGGGATATTGACGTCATAAGCCAGACTGAGTCTGTCTCGTCTTGTGAATTACATTAGGAGGCAATGTACTAGAGATTTCTCCATGACGTCATGATCACGAGGAGGAAGCTTCGGCTCACAGAGCTCACGTCTCCCCGACCATTCCCGCCCACAAATGTATACATCTCAATACTACGCGATCAATAATTAATCAAACGCCGGGTGCATACCCATAACCTGCTTTTAGTCAACCTCCGTCTTTGGTGTGTTAGACGGTAGGTCTTACGTGCAAAAACGCACGTGCTATCTTCAGTAGATAGCAGACTTGAGCCGTAGCGCCAAGTCCTCCCACGCGTGCACTACTCGTCCTTGCAGAGGGGATTACTGCCCTGTCTCCTTCTTGAAACCTACAAGCCTTTAGAGCAATATTAAGATACCAAACATAATCGGCGGAAGTAGACCATCTTGTGGCCATAGAGTGCCTCAATCACGCCAATTGCATACTACGATCTTTAGAGATTATGCAGTATTATGAGAAAGGATTACGGTGAAATGTGTGAAGGACGTTCGCAGCGTCAGGACTGTCTTCACTTTGTATTGAAACATGTAGATATTATAAGTGTAAAATGCTGAATAAGGAAAGGGAAATGATATATGCTCTGAGGTAGGGTTGTATGTATACTCTATGTCTACCTGTATAGTAAGTTTGGTATAAAGCAAGCCTATATCACTGAGGATGGGTTGAACGAGTGCTTTAGTTGATACACGACTGACACTGGTACAAGATATTTGGAAAAACACTCACAATCGGATAACCTGTCTCCTCCTTCTTTGGCAAATACTTCAAACACATTCAGCATAACATTTGTTTTGCCCATAATGAAATGCAGATCATCAACTCTAGTTTCTCGAGATTATTTTTTTTTCTCTCAGTATACGCGGACACACTGCAAGATGATGATGAGGTGACCAAAAAATGACAGTCTTTGACAGGCAGCGGCATTCGAAGTTGGAATAAATAACAGGATGTCGAACTGACATCCACGTCATATATTTTGTGTGGTCAGACTTCGTTTGGAAACGCCACCTGTCTAAGATGGCGTCACATCTCTTGCGCCGACTCGTTCAGCACGTAGCTCTGGAGTTTCTTTGGAAATAAAAAAAAAGAGCGAGGCGGGGACGTCCGGGCATGCGTAAAATATATAGTCTCTACGTCAAGACGTCTTTATTGAATTTGGCTTGGCTGGCCCAGTGTGCCTTCAACACTCATCATGGCTGGTTGAGAAATTGGCTTTCAATGCAACCATAATTGACATCTACCATCAATTAGTGTGCGGTATTGCAATTAGCTGTAGATAATTTGTAGTCGGTGTCTTTAACGGAAAACAGCATTGATCTATTTTTGGCCTCTGAGAGACCTCAAGCAAATTTATTTCAATGAATTAAACACAGACATCATACTAAAAATGCATTGTGTACTGTCTCGAAACAAGAATTCGTTATTTTATACGGGGAAGGCGAGCTGATATTGCCAACGCTGTATAATGCACTGTGCATATTGCGTCGGCAATTAAAAATAAACTGTATATTTTGAAGGTAAAGATTTGGTAATTATTCTATTTTATATAGCCATTAGTGCCAACCCTTCTTTTTTTTTCAATCAAGGGCAATAAAATGGGTGTCTCGAAAAACAAGAAAACACTAAAGTTTACAATATATTGAAAACATATTGCGAAATGACGACTGTTAGAAAATTAAAATTGTTGAGCTCAACTTCTATTCATTCGATCACGCTGGTAGGCCTATTACAATTGTGTAAATTCAAACACGGGAGTCTACTAGCCTGGTCAGTGTTTGGTACCAAGACGTTCACGTGAAAATTAAACATGGACTGGTGAGACTTACACGCTCTATTGTCTAAGGCAATATAAACCATGTGGATGTCTAATTTCAGTTGACCCTATACTTTACAGGTCAATCATCCGCCAACGACGCACTGGTCGTTCTTCGACTTGAAATTCGTCACGAGATTGTCAGAGGCTGTGTTTAGACTAGTACTTGTAGTAGGCTGCAACTGTTTCTATACCACTCCCTTCAGTCAGTGGCGCACTCAAGTAGAAGGGGGGCAGGGGACTCGGGGGGGGGGGGGGCTTGAGCTACCGAGGTGATATGACAGTGGTGATATGTATGTGGCCTATTTTCAAGTAGTATAACAGGTGTGTAAATGGCACCACCAAAGTCAAAATAGTCCAGTCCCCCCCCCCCAAAAAAAAAAAACCACTATTTTTCTGCGGCCGAAAAAAATCGGCAAAATTTTTGAAAAAAAAAAGAACCTTCTAACAAAAAAATTGGAAAAAGAATTGTGAGTCCCCAACCCAAGCCAAACCCTGGGTGCGCCACTGCCTTCAGTATCGCACTTGAAAGTTCAATAAGCTTTTACTATCAGCGTGAGAACGAGAGGAGCTTTTAAACCATAACATTCAGAAAGTCGCCATGATATTGTTCATTTTCACCAGCAATCAAGCACACTGGTTTTGTACTCACAAAATGCAATATGATATGCTCTATGAATCCGCGGCATTTATGACACCACACCTCAACAGTCGGTTTCGTAAAAGTGTTGAATTATGTGAAGGTGTTGAATTTTTGTGTGAGGGTGACCTTTAAAAGTTGACTGACAATGCCAACAACAGTGAATCGCGTGTATAATAGATGTCAACGGTTGAAGATTCCACGCCCAATTTGAACTCGCCAGATTTGTGAATGTTGACAATAATATTATTGTTAGTCATGTAATGTGCTACCGTAGTTTTCCATTTGACAATCATTATACGTGACTTTTGGGTGTGACACCTTGACAAAATTTAGCTTCAAATTGAATTGATATTTTTTTGAGCATAACATTAGTTATGAACTTTCCAATGAGACATCGCACGAAAATATCGGCCATTGACAAGTAATCAATTAATTAATTTCAACTTTTGAATTAAGAGCGGGACGCTCCTAATTCGTTTTGAATAGTGTGCGCAATATCTGAACGGGAGCGCGCCATTAAAACCAATTTATAAAACTGTATAATGGCCTACAAAAACAAACAAGCAAATGTAATTGTTACAAGACATTATATTCCCTTTAATTTCGGATTTAACGTCCCGTTATACTCCTTGAAATATCGGATTCAGCGCCCGGCCGTACTTTCTCTCTATATCGTAGACATGAGCAACCTTAACATAGGAGGTTCTAGACAAACTATACGTTGTTCAAAAGCTACACAGTAGGCAAAGAAGTGTTGGAAACAGGCAAATCTTGAGAGGCAAGAGTTTAACCCTAAAAGGGCCGGGGGCGGAATCCGCCCCCCCCCCTCACCATTTTCCGCGATAGCTTCTAAAAAAAATTTTTTCGCGACCCGAGCTGTTATGACTTTTTAGCCTCGAGCTTTGCGCATCTTTTGATACCAAAAACATAAAAATCGGACCATGGGTTGGCACGTAGCGAAAAATTTTCCGGCGCTACGCGCCGTGAAAACTGAATTTTCGCATATATGTCGTGTACACCGAGCAGAATTGCCATTCATACATATGAATAATTAATTAGCCATAATTCCAAAACCCTTTGACCTATAGTCATGAGATTTCTTGGGATGTTAAGGAAGAGTTGCTCTATGCATGTGCTGAGTTTCAAAAATTTTCGTCACTCGATGGCCGAGATCTTAGGGGGGGGGGGCGGAATCCGCCCCCCCCCCCCCCCCCCCCCCCCGGCTGAGAGATGGTCAAAATAACCCGGCCCCTTTAGGGTTAATCCCCCTTTTTTGGAAAGGAAAATCGAAATTATGAAAAAACTCGCATATACCAACTTTAAAATCATTGCTCATTAAAAAGAAAAGAGTTTGAGTTGGGTAAGGATGAATTAACTTAAAGATACACACCTGTTGCCAAGGAGAAACTGCGGTTCAGAGCAACTAGTGCAGTTGTCTGCTGTCCCGGCGCAGGTCAGGCAGGGGGAGCTGCACAACTGGCAGGATCTGGTGGAGTCGTCCCCGTACTGCCCCGGGCCGCAGTCCGCAACGCACCGGTGGCCCGCATCGGGGTAGGACGACTTCATATAGGTACCCGCGATGCACTGGGATTGCACATCATCAGCTATGAAAAAAAAGAAGGAGGGGGAAAATGTGATGACTTTTTGGTCGGATGAGATTGGCTAGGCCTACTTTTAGATGAAAAAAAATTACTGAAATTGCTCAATCCGTTCAAAGAATATTGCCATTTAAACACAATGACCCTAAATCCCTTTCGTCAAAAAAAGAAAAGAAAAGAAACAGTTTTAGTGTGTATTCTGATTGTTTGGAACAACAAAGAAAATGGCACAGAATACTTGTTTTCACATTAACTGTCAACACCTGTAGTGCACAAACTCTTTATTAACAACCCTGGTTACGCAAACAATATGATTTATAAAATCCTCTTTTTTTTAAGGAGGGCCTTCAAAAGAACTTTGTTAAATATATTTTTTTACTTTTAAACTGAGATTTTATCGCTGGTAATGTTTGAAAACAATTGTGACGACGATTCTTGAAATCGCATTTTTGGACGAATTGTTTTTAAATATGAAAAATAAATGTTGGTGTTTGGGTTCCGCTTGTTTGGACTCACCCTGAAACGGGAATATCCTACCCGAAGACAAACCAGGCAAGAAAATAGAAATTCCATGCACAGTATCTTTGCAACCGTTTTTTTTTTTCGTTTAAAATAGTTTTGATCAATGAAATATGTTGAAATGTTATCACTAACCAATTATCAGTAAGGAAATTCAGATCAGTTAAATTACCTTATTTGTTTTTTTAATTCCGATTTCATTTGGTCAATAGTTGTGGGAATTTCCCTTTTTTTTGCAGGTCTAGCTTGTGAAAAGAATAATATTGATGTGTCTTAACAGCAAACATTGGAATGCTTCATTGACGTAAAAGGGACTCGCTTTTCTGTTTTAATAAGGCCAGCGGAAGCGGCTATAAATAACATGGGTTGAAGGACGGTGTTTAGAGTGATTAGCGGCATAACATCAAAGGCTTGATAATGGAAACACGTACAGCTGCTAAACGACCGTGGTAAAGAAAGAAATATCTTTTATTAATACGCAATGGCGCAGAACGTTTCAGTATCAAGGGTACAACTGATCGATTTGATCTTCGTAAAAAATGCGAATATAGAATTTTGACGTAGACGTATCGATTGTAGTGGAATTCCAGTGACCGAATTTCAGTACGAATACGTAAGATGCGTGGAAAATCATATAAACATCAAACAAATCCTCATATTATTCACCTGGATACACAATACCCCCTGTGTAATAATTAATATAGTATAAATTAGGCCCAAAAAAGTCTCCGGTTTCTGGTATGCGCGCGCGTCGCCGTAGCCATGCGCGTCGGCAAAATGATTTTTTTTTCAATTAAAGATGATGTCTCAAAACCGCCAAACTCACTGGTTTGACTGGAATCCTGCTGCTGCACAATTTTAACGTGTTTTTAGATTGGGTTATGGTCGAGAATAAGCTTTGTGTGGCCTCCCTGGACTCCCATATATTTGCACTAAGTTTAGTCGGGCACCATCTGCAGTGATCAGCACACATTTGAAGCAAAAAAATCAGGTAAAAAAAAAAAAGCCGCGTCGCCGCACCACTTTTTGGGCAAGCTCCATACCAGAAACTGGAGACTTTTTTTGGCCTTATGTTATAAGTGGCTCAGACTCTTCAAAGCTCAAGAAATGAAACGCATCCAAACGAATTCCCTTTAAATTCTTTACCGAGCCCAAACACTAACCATAACCCTGACCCTAACACTACAAATTCTGGATTTAGATATTTGAAATCAACAAATGGCATTATATTTTACCCTAAACTTCCAAGTCATAACTGGACAGGTTAAGATCTGCAAACTCATCGTAAAACCCCTGTTCAGTCGGGCCATTTTAATTATTTTGTATTGTGAGCATCGGTAAAATTATGTAAACCAGGAAAACAATTGTCACTGTTTTAAGTAGTGACTTAATATGATATCTGTTATCTTGTATCTTGATTATAGGACATTGTCCGCCCTTGTCATGGGCGTCGCCAGGATTGGGCAAAGGAGGGGGGACGCTTGCCCCCTCCCCCTGGAGAAGCAAAACAAAAAAGTGAAAAAAGGAGAAAAAAGACGAGGTGCGAAGTCATCTGCTATTGATATAATGCAAATAATGAAAGGTTTGCGGAAACACCATGTGTGCATAATTTCTCAACTAAGAGAATGGTTCTGAAAAGAACCAGAGGTATAAACTCGACGTTCCGGTCAGTGCTCTGACCGTCTTCAGGAGAGAAATATCATCAAAATGGGCGCCTGCAGAGGGGTGGGCAAATGTCCCCCGCCCACTGGCACCCTCGAAGAAATAATACAATGAGAATATGTTAGAAAAGTACAAGGATTTTGGGGGGGGAAAGTGCTTTGCCCCCCCCCCCAAAAAAAAATCCTGGCGACGCCCATGGCCCGTGTTTGCGTATTACAAAGTGTACGGTACATGTATACTTTAGATCCATAAGAAAGTGTGTGCCAAGAGATTTGGTCCATTGCCTATACCTACACATTTACCAGTTAACCCGGATGCTACTTGTGTACTCTCATTGTTGAGAAGTGTGGTCTTTTGTGAGGCAAAGAACAATCCTGTTTCTGTTACTATTCAAGGAATGTTTGCTGTTGTTATTAATTTTATTCCGGGTGTGACAGTGCACATTTTTTTAAATTCTAAATGGATATACAGCAATCGAAAAAAAAACCCACATTAATTAAGACGGCTTTTGTGCACACAACTGAAATCGTGTAATGTCTGCGTTTGTCCAAATGTTAAAAACAACAATCAGTGTATGAGAGAAATATAGTGATTTATTCCAAAATATTTATATCTGTCGCATTTTTAAAATCAGAATATTTACGGAGATTCTATTTTTAAGGAGAGAGAAAAGATCGTAATTATTTTGGCGCGATTCTATAAACATTTATATTAAAATATAAACATGTTAACCGACAGAAGAGGCTAAAATCAATATTATTGTAGAATACACAACGGTATTGTTTATTTACATTTTTAAATTGCCGTTATATTTACGACACTTGGGGCTTTGATCGTTTTTCTATTAATTTATTTCATCCGTATCGTTTATTTTTATTTTGTGTTCATATTTTATTTACTTTTGGGGATTTTGTCTGGTTTTGAGTTTCGTTTTTGTAAAACTGGTATCCGTCTACAGATGTAAACACACATCGATTGATCATAGCTCCATGATCATACATAGGAACCATCCTAGAGAACCAACAAATGAAATGGCTCTCAGCGCTCCTGTCTTATCAAGCGTAAGTAACGCGCTTTGTTATAGGTCCTTGGGAGGGAAAATGACACATTGTAGCAACGTTCATGCGGGGGTTTGTTTACAAACAGAAACGTATTCGGACGGATGCAACTTTTATTCAGGTCAACAGCCGAAAAGATTTATATTTGGATGTGACTGGTTTTCATATCCGTCATTTGATGTCATTCTAAAATTCAAAAGCTTTCAAGTAAAAAGAGGAAGATATGTCCCCGTAAAATTGCGCTCCTCCCGGGTAAAAAATGGTCTCCCCCCCCCCCCTCCAAAAAAAAAGATGATGCAAGCACGCCGCTTTTTGCGGTTACAGATCATGCATTGTGTCGTCTGCTGCGCACAACTTGCGGTTCCAAGATCTCGCAGCTTTGCCATATTGGTGCGCTGTATGGGTGGCGGGAAATATTGATGAGCCTGCATGTTTTTTTTTTTTACTTATTAATAACGTCAAGCGTGGGCGGGAAACTGCGGAGGCTAGAATGCGTCTGCAAGAGGAATTAATATTATAATGAGATTGCTTGTTTTGACGGCGCCAGTGTTTTGATGGTGAAGTAAGATATATTGTGACATAAAGAAATGTGTCTTCCAGGCAGTTTATGATATTTCGTGTGTTTTTGTCTAACTGTAGTTTTCATTTCCTTTATTTCAGTTAAAGGTTTATATATTTTGAGAGGGGGGTGCAAAGTGATTGTGGGCACCTTTTTACAGCCACAAATAATGGTTTACATGCACACTCTTATTTCTAAAATAAACTTACCATAGGCCTTAATGATAGATCTCAAGCATTATGATATACAATATATATGTACTCAAGTTAATTATAGCAATTCTTCGTTATACACAGAATATTAAATAAATACAAAGATTCATTCATTTCACAAACGGTGTTAATTGAAGACTTGTAACCAAAAAATAGGATTTAAAAAAATGATGTATCATGCTTACGTCATCACCACCTACCTTTGGTTAGAGTTGTGAAGATGATCAGAATTAAGACTTGTAATAAGCCTAGCCTGTCCAGTAAATGCCCCATGATGATAAACTGAAGCTGACCGGCAGAGTAACCTCAGCTCAGTTTTACTCCCACGGTTTTTTTTTCTCTCCAGAAAAATACTGGTCGGCAGATCGGCACAATATGGAAACCAGACCTATAGGCAGACAAACATGAACATTGTAAATATATTTTACTGCCATATTTTCTGCTCTGCTGTATTATTGAATTTAAAAAAAAATCTACGCGGGAGATGTATTCGAACAAATAATGTTGTGATTGTTGCTATGAAAACGCCGAAGGGGGAATTTTTCTTGGGAAAAATAAACTCGAACAAAACACGGACCTGTCCATTAAAAAAACTGACTTGGAAACAATGGGTGAAGTTTACACGAAATTGTTAACCATCCAAAACTGACAAAATAGCCATACATGCAGCACTGTCAACGTACGGTTACACCCAGTTTTTTCCTTCTTTTTTTCCTGCATTCCAAAAATGTGGTCAGGCGTAACACCCAAAACATTATAGCTGTTCAGAGGGGGGAATAACTTACCGGCTTTTGTCGCGTATCTGCTGTCGGTCGTCGACACTGGAATTCCACTGCTTCAATTGAGGACTTCAATCGACATTCTCCACTTGTGACGTGTACAAAGCATGAAAATGAGATAATATTTATGTTTTTCCGTCCTCGAATTCACGTGGAATAGCGTATCAGTGATCTTGTGGCGCGAATCGTAGTAAAAATGCCGGGTGGCTTGTGTTTACATTCTGGTGCCGGCGTTCATTCATTGAAAAATCGCTTGTTCCATTTTAAAGTGGGGGAGTCCTTTCTTGTAAACGAGAGCGTTGCGTAGGAAATCCCGGCAAAAAATGTCGCAGTCAATTATAACATCTGTACAGTTTGTACACAAATTGTGCGATAAGTACGCAATTTGGCATTTGAAGCCGCTATTTGCAGTATATGATGCAATTATGAGCAAGGGGTTTAGGGCGATTGCTTATTTTGATTACCCATATGGTCAGTGGACTAACCTGCCCGTGTGATTGCGTCATTATTGTAGCTATACACATGTATTTTCAGGAGCAGAAGGGAGGGGGTGACCCGAATTATGCTATGCTCAATCGCCCAGAACTTCAAAGAACTTGAACCCATTTCCGTCCGCTTTGTCTGCATGTATCAAAACCATGCATGCACGGTACATGTATTTGAAGTATTCATTTCCACCAAAAAAAGTTATTTACACCCCCAAAAAAATCAGGCTCCGCCCACAGTTAAAGAAGGAAAAGCGGGTTCTTCAAATGCCGGTTATGTCATGATCCTGTTTGGCTACTGCCCAAGATAAATCTGTACACATCTGTATCATTTTGCAACTCACTGCATGACACGCGCAAAATACATGAACCCAGTTTGTTTTGGTTTCTGTTTTGCTTTTAATCCGAATCCCCCTTATTCCCCTGAGGATGTATACTCTGTAAACCAGTTCCCTATTTTTCAATTAAATCAGTTCCTCCTTTTTCATTGTAATCATTCGTATTTTTGTCATGATAATACATTCAGAATTGTTGGGGTTTCACCGTGTACTGCAGTTTTGCTTTAAAGATTATAACACAGTGCGCATGGGTAGTTACGTAGTAATTTTATCGCCCTATGTCATTTTTCTGAATGGAACTTTTTCTCGATTATTAAAATAAAATCTCCATTCTGCCCCTCCCGTCCTCAAAATTTGACCAGAATCGGACAATCTGGCAGGTAGTCAGATGAATCATGATATTTTCTTTTTTTATCAATGAATTCGACACTTGGACTATTGCCAACGCATGCGATATGAACCGTGACTCCACTAAATAAGTCTTGCACTTCTGGCGGGCCATTGAACTATCCACGGTTCATATCCGAACAAAAATGAAGCCATGCAGATATGAGAATTGAAATAATTGGTTTTCCCCCAGATTTCACCAGTAGCTTCAAGGTTGTATCACGGTGAGCATGCTTGGCCGGTATACAGTGTTCAAGTATGCCTATTGTAAATAAGCGTTGAAATTACTACAATCCACAATTTTCTCACAATGATCACTTCGGGGCAACCAGCGCTTCCATCACTTTCCAAATTTGAATTTCCTGAGATTGGAACATTTTTTTTTCGCTTAGATTTCCTTAGATTTTTTTTTTAAATTAAATTCCTGAATTTTTTTCCCTTCAATAATTTTAACTTAAAAGTCACCATGGTAATGACCAAAAAATGGATAATTCTAACAGGTTTAGTTTCTCAGTTTCGAAAGCCACTCTTGTTCTGTAGAGGCCCCCAAATGGCCTAAGTATTCGTTTGGACACAAATTTATTAAGTAATTCCCATATTGAAATTTCTTTGAATTGTCGTTCAGAGTTTGAATTTCTTTAAAATTTCCTTACATTTTTCATTTCCTCAGAAATTTTCTTAGGACGTTAACATTTCAAAAAATAAGGAAATTTCCTTGAAAGTGAAAGCATTGGGGGCAACACTGAGTATACAGTGTTTATAAAAATACGTCTGTGAAGGGCAAAACTCAATGTTTAGTTTAGAAGTCACTAGTTCGGATGAACAGCTCAACAACAAGCTGAGTTATGTCGAATCAAAGATGCATAATACCATGCTCTTCAAGATATGACTTTGTTCAAATCTCCTAACGAATTTTCAATGTGTATGTCCAGTTTTAACTAAAAGAAAACCACTTTGTCTTGCAGCCAATAATTCGAATTTTGTGAAGAAATAACTCAATTACTAAACGTCGGTGGATTTTCTATTGTGCAATGTCTCATTCCAAAGTGAATAACTTTATTTTATTGCTGGGAGAACATCAATTAACAAAAAGCATTCTTTTTCAAGGTAAAGCTCGAAAATAGCACAAAGAAAGCATCTTTAAATTCGGCATTAGTCCTGGCTGTACAGTCTAAAGATAGAAAGCATTAGAAAGGAGGGCGCCCTCGTGTGTTCTTGGATAAGTTTATCACTGGAGGTTGTTCCAAAGCAGTCTTCGTTTCGAAGGCAAAATCATCGGGTCTGTTGCTGCTTTTTGTGTCAAGAATGTTGTTTTCCAACGTAATTTTTTTCTCCAGCGATTATATAGTACAAGCACACACAGTAAATTTCCTTGTTCAAGTTCAACCGTGTGAGTGAAAATGAACATCGAAAACATCACTGGATCCCGTGACTGCGTGTTTCCAGAAATCGAAACGAGAAGCGCTGACCGAAATGACAACTGGGTCGCATTTCACATCTTTGATTCACATCTAAACGGGAAATACAAACACTGTGATGGACTCATAACTGTATTGAGTAGATAGGGACTATGCAATTCTAAAAATAAACTATCGAGACAAACAAAAAGAATTACATTCTGTCCCGTACGTTTCATAATTTTCTTTATTCAATCAGTGTTCTAAGATATGCAACTTCTTTGTGTTCGGGGCGAGGCGGGAGGGGTGGGGTGGGGGGGGGGGGGGGGGGTGAACATTTCCCCAGCCAACCACCCCACTGTTATAGGTGTAAATAGGCCCAGAAGTGCCTACGCGGGCAAAATCACGATTTGCATGCCCTCAAGTTCTTTGCCATTAGAGCATTTTGTGGGCCATGAACTTGAAGGTTTGTAAGAAAGAAAAGAAAAGATGGTAAGCCTTGCACAGGAGTGTGAGCTCGTAAAACTGTGAAATTCCGATGAAATTGGGCCCTAAAATTGGGGGGGGGGGGGGGGGGGCGGGGGTGGCAAAAGAGCGCAGGTATCATTTTTTTCAAAATGGCGACGTGCCACAGAACTACTTTTAGGAGCGGAATTTTCTCCCAAAAGGCATAGCATTACCACCCATAATTTGAACAGAAAATAAAAATGGATGAAATTAACTTTAATTTGATGGCTGTCTCAAAAACCTTGGAGAGTTGTGAGTAATTTTAATCATTTTGATAGTATGCGTGATTATCACTGAGGTATATGGGAGGGCGATTTACAGGCCTGCACCGAAAGGGCCGGTGCACCCAAGCAAATTATATTCCCATAAAGACCAGTGATAAATTCCCATACTTCAACACTCTTTTAAAATACTAAAAAGTCTCACAAGCGTTCAGACCGCAAAGAAAAATGATGATCAACATATTTCGTCTTTCATTTTCCGTTTTTAAAGTTGGGAGGGTTGACCAATGACTTTTTGAGATATTCTCACCCAAAGAAGACCATCCCTAAAATGAACGATATTTCCTAAACTGGAAAATCATAGCCATTTTGAAAAAGGACCACTCCACAACATGACTAAATAGCGCCACTTTCGGGCCCAACTGCATCCAAAATGCATCCCAACAAACTAGGGCCTGCTCGGCACCAGTGTTCCGTAGGCCCTATAGGCACTACAATAATAAATACTCCCACTTCAGACTGCAGAAACTCAGGAAAAATACTCACAACTCTCCGAGGTGTTCGAGACACACATCAAATCAAAGCTTATTTCATCATTTTCATTTTCTGTTCAATTTTGTGGGGTAATCCGATGACGTTTAGGAGAAATTTCCATCAAAAGATGATCGCCCCTTGAATAATCCTGAAGCCCATCGCCATTTTGAAAACCGATGCATATACACTCCATTGCAAAACATAGCGCTTTTAGGGCCCACTTTAATCAAAATTTCACAGAAATACAAGCTCACATCCGTATGCACAGCTTCCACCCTTCTTGTTTTACAAACCCTCAAGTTCATGGCCAAACAAAATGCTCGAATATGGAAGAAATTGAGATCTTGCAAATCGTGATTTGGCCGGCGTAGGCAATTTCGGGCCTGTTTACTGGTTTGCACCCTTCTGTAAACGCGGATCACGATCTTCCCAAACGAAGTCGGCTTCAAGTGAACAAAAATAAAACACACTTTGTGGAGACGATAAATCAAGAAAAACACAGTGCACTGAGTTGAAATTTCGTCCAATATATGTTCGGGATATAGGACACAAACCTCTTGAAAGTCGACGGGAACCCTTAGAAAATAAATTTAATATGATTTAATGAAATACAGTGTACTAATCGTGAAAAATTCAATCCGAAGTCGAGTCACTTTTAATTGAACAAAATAAAGTACTCTTTGTGGAGACATTAACTCTTTAAAAACACATTGCACTGATTTGAAATTTCGTCCACTAATTGTTCGGGATATAGGACACAAACCTATTGAAAATTGACGGTAACCCTTAGAAAATAAATTTAATATGATTTAATGAAATACAGTGTACTAATCGCGAAAAATTAAATCCGAATTCGAGTGACTTTAAATTGAACAAAATAAAGTACTCTTTGTGGAGACGTTAACTCAAGAAAAACACAGTGCACTGAATTGAAATTTCGTTCACTACCTGTTTGGGATATAGGACACAAATGGTTTGAAAATCAACGGAAACCCTTGAAGAATAAATTTAATATGATTTAATGAAAACAGTGTACTAATCCCGAAAAATTGAATCCGAATTCGAGTCACTTTTAATTGAACAAAATAAAGCACTCTTTGTGGAGACGATAACTCAAGAAAAACACATGGCACTGAATTGAAATGTCGTCCAATAATTGTTCGGGATATAGGACTTAAACCTGTTGAAAATTTACGGTAACCCTTAGAAAATAAATTGTATATGATTTAATGAAATACAGTGTACTAATCGCGAAAAATTCAATCCGAATTCGAGTCACTTTAAATTGAACAAAATAAAGTACTCTTTGTGGAGACGTTAACTCAAGAAAAACCACATTGCACTGAATTGAAATTGCGTCCAATAATTGATCGTGATACATGACACAATACAT